GATTTTGCCAGTGGGCTATTTGAGGTACATGTGGTGTGTGAATTCTGACTTAACTTAGGTAAAATTGATGACACAATAGACAGACTGTCGAGGTGGCAACGTCTTAGTCGAGAAGTGCCCTGATATAAAGAGAGATAGTGAGGCAGCGATACAGGAATTAAATTGTTAAGAACTTTGTGGAAAAAAATAAGATCATTCAAGTCAAACTTTTGAGACAAAGGGAGAATGTCGACAAGCTTGCACTTTTTGACATATTGCTCAGGTGGATAACTGCGGCCCTCTTCAGACAGAATCCATTTAATAGCTCTCTTTTGGAGACTTTCTAATTTATCACTAAGTGATTTATTACAAGGGCGCCAGATTATGGAACAATTTTCGAATTGGCTACGAACCAGGGAGAGGTAAAGCGCCCGGCGACGTTTCTGATCAATGACAATATGGCCATCTCTTCTGACCATACCAAGTTGTTGGCAGGCCTTAGTATAAATTCTGTCGCACTGACTATTCCAACTTAGCTTAGGAGTAACATCGACTCCAAGATCTTTTTCTAACTCTACATACACAAGAGGAGAGCCATCAAGATTATATGCGAATGGAGGAGATAAAGATGGTTTTCCTGAAACAATAAGCACTTTACATTTTGCTGGATGAAATCGCATTTTGTTTCTTAGTGCCCAGTCAGAGAGATAGTCTATATCCATTTGTAAATTAGTATTATCAGAAGATGAATGTATTTTACGCCAGATTTTTGTATCATCGGCATACAAAACAATATCAGTATTATCCGAAAGGCCAAGAGGAATATCATTGATAAACAATACAAAAAGTAAGGGACCAAGAATAGAGCCCTGGGGGACACCAGAATTAACTGAGAGGGTAGATGACATCTCATTACCAATAACCACTCTTTGGTAACGGCCTTGAAGGTAATTGGTAAGAAATTTGAGAAGTGCACCATCAATGTTATATAAGGTCTTTAGCTTATGAAGAAGGATATCATGATTTACAGAATCAAATGCCTTAGCAAAATCAAAATACACAACATGATTGATAATGTTTTCGTTAAGAGACAATGCCAGGCTATCACAAAAGTCAACCATATTGGTTGTGCATGACTTGTGCTCTAGAAAACCATGCTGCCTGGGATCAAGAAGGGTACTTGTCAAAGAAAGCAGTTTACGTTTAACAATGCGCTCAAAAACTTTCATGACTAAACAAGTAAGGGATATTGGTCTATAGTTTTCAACCTCACTTTTCTTACCTTTCTTAAATATTGGGACAACATTTGCAAGTTTCCATTCTTGTGGAATGTAGCCGCTGTTGTAAGATCCACGAAAAATGCATGTTAGAGGGTAAGCTAAACCTACGGAACAATTTTTGAGAATTTTACCGTGTATGCCATCTGGTCCCTGGGCTTTATTTGAATTAATATTTGAAAGAAGCTTACGAACATCCCGATGATCGAAGTCAATATCAAAATCAACATCATTGACATAGGAGATGTCAGTGTCATAAAGTGAAGGATCCGAAAACTGGTTATAAAAGAAAGAATTGAAAAGTTCAGCTTGAGCTTTGGGTTTGAACCGAAGCTGTCCAGAATAACTAACACAATTAGGAATACGGCAGGAGTTAGATTTATACTTAACATGTGACCAAAACTTCTTAGTTATAAGCGCTGGATCATCACTATTGAAAAGATTGTCTCTTATTTTGGCTGATGAAAGCCTCTTAAAATCTTTACGGCTAGTAACAAACTTTAACTCATCAGAAATAGAACCAGAAATTTTAAATTTAGCTCTGAGTCTATCTTTTTTACGGCATGAAGAAAAAAGTTCACTGTCGAACCACGGGGGTTGAAACTCTGATTTAATAGTTACTTTAGGAATATGTATATCAACTAAATTCATAATGCAGTCTTTAACTAACTTCCAAGACGAATCAGGATCTAGGCATTCTAGGACTTGCCAATTAATCGAGCATAATTCACGATTAATCATGTCCCAGTTTGCTTTCTTATAATTATAGATTTTACGTTTAGGAGTTTTCTTGCGGGAAAAGGAGCTTTTAATTGAAAAAGTGACAGGAAAATGATCAGATTTGCACACGGAATGAGGATCACAGACATTCAAGTTATCGATTGTGTTATCATAATTACTGAGAAGAATGTCTAATGTATTACCACTTTTATGGGTGGGTGGTGTGATCAACTGGGAGAGAGAAAGATCACTGAAAGAATCTATGAAGGATTGCTCAATAGGTACGGTACTGGATGAAGATAGCCAGTCTGTATGGGGGAGATTAAAATCACCAATAACATAGATTTTAGGGGGATTCTTTTTGGAAACTAGCTTGCGAATATAGCTAACTATGACATCATGATTAGGTAACCCAAGAGTTCCTACTCTATAACAAGTACAGATTACAATACTCTCTTTGTTAGGAAAAGCAATTTTAACGGCAAGCATTTCTGCACCTAGGCTAACTGGTAGTCGGGTTGTAGTGGCATCGAGATCAGACCGAACAGCCAAAAGAACACCACCTCCATTTTCCCTAAACTTTTTAGGGTTATTAGGATCTTGAGGATGAGTCTTTCTCGTGCGGTCATTGCGGAAGATTTCATATTGAGAAGAAGGAAAGATTTCGTTGCTAGAAATAGATTTTTTGAGCCAAGTCTCATTTAGGGCAATTATGTCAGGCTGCTCTATGTTAGCAAAGGATTGAAGTTCGGAAATCTTATTACCATCAAGAAGGGGATGGGAGGAGCTTAGGTTACTGAAAGGAATAAGACCTTGGACATTTTGGTAGAGTACAGATAGGGAGTTGGGACCTGGATTAAGCATAGAAGGATTAACAAGAGTTATCAAAAGAAAGTTAAGAGAGAAAACCCAAAGAATGAATAAAGATACTAGACGCCTGAGGCGGCTGGAATACTTGACTCTATTCATCTTACCAGGGAGAAGAACATTTCTTATAAACCATGAGGAGATAATTACAAAGAAAAGTTTGATGTGGGAGCAAGCAAGAAATGGTATAAGATAACGTGGGCTGTCAAGGAGTAGAGAGGAATGAATATTAGAATCTAGGGGGAATACGGTGTTCATGGACCTAGTTGTGGAGAGAAGAATTGGGAGAAGGTAAGTCATGATGAGGGAATAGAAAAGAAACATATGATCATGAGAATTGTGGTTGATGTGTGGAGTGTATGGGGACTTGAATGTGTAAATTTTGTTAGGTATAAACGTGTTGATATGTATATGTGCATTTCTTGACTGTGTACGAGGCCTTTTGCATGCAAAAAGACCTATTCTAAGTCTAAACGATTCATTGTCTAACATATGGGAAAATGGGCAGTGACCGAATGTACCTGAAATAGGAGGCATAAAATTGAGAAAAAGATTAAATCAGAGATTTGTTTGAGTTTTAATTTTAGGCGCAACGTCTTAATCAGAATATTAAATGAAAGAAAAGATCAAAGATTTAAATTCCCAGAAAATTATTTACAACCCTGTCAAAACTGTGTTCGTTTACAACAAACTTAAGCCAAGTGGACAATAAACCTACTCCTCTCATGTTGAGATGAAGCCAATCATGGTATAGAAGTTCATTACAGGATCTAAAGTCTCGAGTTAAAAAGTCTGAGAAACAGTCTAAGAACACGCAATTATTATTTAGGCATAAGTCTTTAAGTAGATTATTAAAATCTAGAACATTCTTTGCTATGTAGGAATATAAACACTTAATAGGAAGACAACATTGGATAATTATAATTGCAGCGGGAAATAACTGCTTAGTGGTGTCAATTAAGTCATTAAGATACTTCCTAAGGAACTGAACCCCATACTTAGAATGTTTTATGTCATTTGTACCAACACTCAATATAATCTTTTCAATATCGTCAGCTTCTGCAGCTGCATGAGTTTTATGAAAATGCTGAATATTTTCAGTGATATCTCTAATTTTTGCACCACTTTGGGACACATTGATTACTTTCCTTCCCCGGAATCCCAACTTATTTGTCCGTACGAGTTTTGTCATTGACGTACCAAACAGGACAGTGGTTTTTCTGCTCTTCGGTTTTCTTGGAGCATTTCGGTAGTAAAGGGTCGGTATTGAGGTGGTGGTGGGCGGCATAGGAATTGTAGTGAGGACATTCTGCTCTCTGACTACATTTGTATCTGTCTTCGGTATCTGGCAGCGAAAAGATAAGCTATACCGAGTCTCCTTAGCTGATCTCTCTGCACGAACCTTGTGAAGACAATATTCCTGACACCCCGGTTTCATAATATACAAACTACAGTCCTTTGGGGTGATATGGCATTTACTGTTACATCGCCTATCCCCATTTTCTGGAATTATGTCGAGGGTCCTCTCAGCTCCAAATGAAACTACATAAATACCTTGCGACTGGTCAAGAGACACCTCGTCGTCGTTGTGGTACCTAGTTGCACAAGCACCAGACTTGTACATGCTTGCTAGGCATGAGTTTAGCTTGCAGCCAAACTTGGAGTTGATATCATGCATAAGCTCTGATATCCCAGGATAATTTAAAATATCGATTGGCTCCTTAGTCGTGGTGTGTCCATTTGAGGAAGACCATACATATTCTTCTCCAGTGGAAGTGAGCCACTTTGTGGCAGTTTTCACAGCAGTTTGCTTGGCCATAAGTGTTTCAAGTTCAGACATCAACGTGCCATGTTGAACACTCTTGTTTTGAACAAAATCTGAATGCAACTCCAAGAAGTCCTCGCATTTAACAGAATCCCTCTTAAGTTTCATGACATTCTCAACACTGGCCTTAAGAGCTTTCAGCTCTTTTAATGAAAACGAGTTTAAAACATTGGCAACAGAATTCAGATCCATAGTGAAGGAAAGAGGGAGGAGAAGATGGCGGTGAGGGAGGAGAAAATGGCGAAGTCAATACTGTAGCCCAGGAAGTAGATGCGTTGCTTAGGATACAAACGGTCACGTCATAGTCTCTTCTATCGCTTTGACATTGGGACCTCAAATTATTTGTTATATAGTAGTGTTGAAAGTATTAAAAAGTATTTTTCTATATAGAAAAATTTGAAATTTTTGTTTGATTGCAATGTTTTGTTGATTTAAACATATAACCAGGATGCTATATAGGTCACCAAGGCCTAGATATGCAAGACCACCTCCATATTCTCCTAAGCCGCTACATGACGGCTATCAGTGGGATACAGCACATTGTGATGGCAATCAAAACAGTTTTCCTATTCACCCCTCACGAAATGGAAATAGTCACCATCCTCTCAGGGGACTCAGACCTACAGCAGGATCTTATCCAAGGCACAGCATACAACAACCTCCAATAAGAGCTCCAATGAGAGCTCCAACTCGAGTGCAGAGACCTCCTTTTCACACACAGAGACCTCCATTTCAAGACCACAGACTTTCGCTTGATGGACAGAGTCGTCCACCACAATTTTATTATTATATTAGACCTCAACAGCATCAGCTTCCTCCCCAGTTAAATTCTAGTTATGGTTATTACAGAGATGCTTATTGGACTGAGGAATCTGAGTATGATCCTTACAACATAGAAACGGGACAGAGTCAAGACCTCTACGATCCATACAATTTAGAATCAGGTAAGATATTTTATTTATTAATCTATTAAAAATGTATTTTACCGCATTTTTGGAGTAATTGTTATAAGTGTCATTTCGGGGGAAGGGGGGGGGGGGGGGGGGGGATCTTAAGGTCTGAATCGTCGTATTTTCTTCCAAAAGGGGGTGTCCAACCCCAAAAAAACCATTTTACCTCAAATTTCAATTTTGAAATTTTAAAATTTTTTGTAATTTTTTATATAATTCGATTACATTAAAAACAATACCCCTACTAAATAGTGGGTATAATTTGCCAATTTCCCTAGTTTAATGAGTTGTTTAAAGCAATTTATGGGTGGATATCTTATTTTATATACCAAGACACAGTTAGTACCGTGATTTCTCAACAGTTAGTACCGCAAAAGCCAGCAAAAAGGGTGGGTGTCTTAATTATTATTCGAAAAAACAGTTAGTACCGCGATGGGGGTGGGTGGGTCTTTCGAAAAATTCCAAAATTGCACTTAGTCGACGTCACGTACAGCAATTGGTACCTGATCACCCCCCCCCCCCCCCCCCCCCCCCCCCGGTAATATTTGAATGAAAATGATTAAGATCGATGATAAAATCCTCTTCAAAGGAAAGTTTGTAGTCTTATCTTTTATAATACAAGGTTTGTCATTTTCTCTCACAGCTACAGTAATACCACTTTTTCAGATGTTGTGCCATATAATACAACACAAACCAACGACTTGACACTGGTAACAAACAAATCAGAACCAGTGGTTAACGCCTGGACCAACTCGTCCTCAGAACCAGTGGTCAGGAATAAAGAGTTGGATGATTGGGTGCCATCATCAGCCGAGACCAGGGTTACCCCGGCAGCTGGGGATAAAGAGGGTTTGTTTTATTTAACATAATTTAATATTTAGGGTAAACAAGTATAAGCTCGCCTTTGTAGTCATTAATCAGTTTGCTAATCAGGCCTGTACTGGTAAAGATTAAAATTTGATTATCATGTTTAAATGATTTAATTGTTTTCTCAACCATTTGACTGTTTGAAGTTTAAAAGGTGCAGCAAAAATTGACTCTTTATTTTACTGTCAAAATCATAAATTTTTCACTAACATTAATGAGTCAAAATTTCTTACAAGCTTGACAAATATCCCATCTCAGTGTCATATGAAGAGTATGAGAAATGGAGGCATGATAAAGGGGTTGGGTTTAAGGGAGGTGTTGGTATAAAGAGGAAGATGCACAAAGCTCCTAAGGGGGTGTTTACTGCAGCTGGTAAACATCCTATTGGTGCTCTCAAGGAGAAAATACCCACTTGTGAATTTACCGAGGCAAGTTTGCTGAACCACGGATGGTTTTTATGAAATTAAGTATAGGCCTAGGAGGGCCGGGGGGAATGCAATGTCAATTAATGTCAGTATTCCATAAAAACCCCAAACTGACATTGACATTAATTGACATTAATTGACATTAATTGACATTAATTGACATTAATTGACATTAATTGACATTAATTGACATTAATTGACATTAATTGACATTGATATGTCTTGAAATTTGAGATTATCATTATTCGATAAATATTCAAGATATTCACGTCTATGTAATCTAGGTAAACTATAGGTAAAAATATAATATTAATCATAAGCTAAAATGTACTAAACTTTGTATTCTAAATGGGGAAAAAGAAGAAACATTGTCAGTCAGTCGAGAAAATTGTCAGTCAGGCTATATGGCAGCTTTGTAGATGTTGTGACTATGCTAGTAGTGGTCCCAGGCTTGCGACTGGAATTGCGGTGTTAAGTTAGACCGGTTCATAAAAACAAAATGTCCTTGAATAATTATGAGTATGTTCTTATCTGTTGATCCTTAGGTTCAAAGACCACCAAAAAAAATTTCAGCTTCCAACTCTTCCATCTTCGGTCCCCACCGGCCACGCCCATATTTTATTGGTTTCTTATACAGGTAAAATATCTAGAATCGGCTTTTTTAGTATGAAGGAGTAATGTTAGCTGTTTAAGATTCGTTATTCAAATATAAATGTCATGAAGGCATTTCGTTTAATGTGGGTTTTAAGTTCTGATGATGTTTAGAACCACGCCCTTGGATGGCTAAAATGTACTAATCTTTGTATTCTAAATGGGGAAAAAGAAGAAACATTGTCAGTCAGTCGAGAAAATTGTCAGTCAGGCTATATGGCAGCTTTGTAGATGTTGTGACTATGCTAGTAGTGGTCCCAGGCTTGCGACTGGAATTGCGGTGTTAAGTTAGACCGGTTCATAAAAACAAAATGTCCTTGAATAATTATGAGTATGTTCTTATCTGTTGATCCTTAGGTTCAAAGACCACCAAAAAAAATTTCAGCTTCCAACTCTTCCATCTTCGGTCCCCACCGGCCACGCCCATATTTTATTGGTTTCTTATACAGGTAAAATATCTAGAATCGGCTTTTTTAGTATGAAGGAGTAATGTTAGCTGTTTAAGATTCGTTATTCAAATATAAATGTCATGAAGGCATTTCGTTTAATGTGGGTTTTAAGTTCTGATGATGTTTAGAACCACGCCCTTGGATGGCCACGCCCATTTAAGAAAATTAAATTTCGGGAAACCGTATTATTTTAGTTTTATTGTTTAATGATCTGAATTTTTTTCACATTTCACATTTCCATATGTGATAGTAGTGAATAAATTGATGATATAAACGTTCTAAAGTGCTAACAAGAAATGCGGCCGCTTTTCTTTTGTGGATGGCCGCTCAATTTCCCGATCCGTGATGGCGTATTTATCATATTCCATACAACCTGAGCTGGGGACGGCCCAGTCTTTACTGTTTATATAAACATGCAAATATGGCGAAGTGACATGCCGACTGCCGAGCGCCGCCCAGTTAATATAATTCTATATTGAATTTGAAAATCGTGTATATTTCTATGTAACCATATGTTTATTGTTTATGCAACCTGACACGGATCTGTGCAAAATAGTAATACTAACTCAAAATAATAATAATATGCTATCAATTAGTGCCTAGTGGGATACATACATGATGAAATTAATAATGTACTTGGTTGGTTCAGCGCCGCGCGCCAACAATTATATAATTCAGATTATCACGCAAAATAACTTTGCGCAGGTAGTCACGTGGGCGATAACAGTGCTCGCAGGCACGTACGGTCGCACGCTCGCAGGCACGGTCGCAAAGCTACCATATACAAAAAAAAACCTCGATCGCTAACCCTTGTCCTTGACTCTTTTGTGCCTTCGGCACGAGTCATGGATCGGGAAAAAATATGGTAGAATTACATAATCTCTGGTCGAAAAATATCGTGTCAATTAATGTCAGTATTCCAAAATTTTGCAAAACTGACATTGACATTAATTGACATTAATTGACATTAATTGACATTAATTGACATTAATTGACGTTGCATTCCCCCCGGAGGGCCCCATAATTGAATAATTATGTAATGCCATGAAGATATTCATGTAATATAATGGTAATTGTCGGTAAACAATTAATACTGGAATACCTGTAAATTAAAAAATACATGTTTTCAAACTTTTCTCAGGAATGCCGGGAGAGGAATGACGAGCTGAAGTATTGGAAGCTAACAGCCTCTGTCAAGTTCTCTGGCTACAAGTTCCTGGGGTACGGTGTTACGATGAAGATTGCTAAAGCTGAAGCTGCTATTAAAGCTCTGACTTACCTTGATGTTCTCGGTTAGTGACAGCTCACACATTTCCAATTGCCCGGTTTTTTTTTGTACTGTGGTCTGTGGGGCAGCTGGTCAGCCGGCACAACTTATAGAATACTTTGTCGGCAAGCAACTCACTGATTACATGGAAGAGAACAAACTTTTCATCCGGCATCAATATGGCTTTCGGAAAAATCACTCCACAACTTATTTGATGTACGATCTGATGGACGAAATATATATGAGTAAATCTAAGTCTTATAAACCAGGAATCATCTTTCTTGATCTTAAGAAGGCCTTTGACACAGTGAATCATGAAATATTGCTTCAAAAATTGGCATATTATGGAATTGGTGGCATTGCTTTAACCTGGTTTAAGAACTTCTTATCTTGTAGATATCAATGCACTAGGATCAATGGCAAACTAAGTTCATTTTTAGAAGTTCTGAGTGGTGTACCACAAGGAAGCATCATTGGGCCTATATTATTTAGTATCTTCATAAATGACATCATTTATGCCTGTAACCTATCTAAGCCCTTTCTATTTGCAGATGATGGTGCACTATTCTTTGATCAAACCTGCAGAAGCACATTTATAAACATGAAAATAGAACTTATGACAATCTTTAAATGGCTCAGTGTAAATAAATTATCACTCAATGAAACGAAGACTGAATTCCTATTGTTTGATTCTGTTGATCAACATGATGAATTAACCATTGAATGTAATGAGGTAACTTTCACAATCAAGGAGTGCAAAGAGACAAAATATCTTGGCCTCATTCTAGATAGTAAATTAAACTTCAAAAGCCATGTAGATTATATTATTAAGAAGGTCATGAAGAGAATTGGTGCCATGTATAGAAGTAAAGCACTGCTACCCATTAAATATAGGAAAATGTTTGCCAATGCACTCATGTTGCCACAATTCGATTATTTAGACACGATCTATTGTAGAGCTGGCAAGACAAAACTTGCTGAACTTGACACTCTGTACAAAAAGGTAGCCAAAATAGCTCTCAACGTTCCACAAACAGAGAGCAGCCTTAATGTTTATAGAGACATGAAATGGTTACCACTCCATCTTAGACGACAACTCCATCTGTCAAATTATATGTTTAGAATCATCCATGACAATTGTCCTACAAACTTTATGAACAAATTTAGTTACATATCAGGAGGTAGTAGGAGCGGCGAAAGCTGCAACCTATATGTTAATAGATCAACATCACATAAAAACTTTCAATACTTGGGGGCAAAATGTTGGAATAATGTTCCAACAGATCTACGAAATCTGCCCGATGTTAAAAGCTTAAGTGATTCGTATAAGAAACAGCTACTCTCATCTATAACAACAGACCCTAATTATACCGTCGACAATTCATATGACAAATTTTACACTGCAATCATAGTCGACGATAACTAAGTATCTTCTAATTCTTTTAAATCTGAGGCATATATAATTGATGTATCGAAAGGATTTTCCCTTTTTTACCACCTTACCATTTTGATTGATTTTGCACATGACTGACATGTTTTAACTGGAGGAAGGGTTCGCACAGTGGTAGTTTTATAAACCACTTTTAATTTATTGACCTATTATACCTAGTGGTAGTTTTATAGACCACATTTAATTTATTTACTTATTATACTTAGTATTTATTTTTGGTGACTGTATCACCCAGTTTTAACATTTGATAATTGTACAGTTTATTGACGACACATTGACTGAATGTTATTTTATATTCTAATTTATATTCTAGATATTTTATTTATTTTTCAACAGACGACAACTTCCTGTTTTTTCTTCTATATTAGTTACTCATATCTCTTTTACAGACTTTTTTACAAGGACATTGACAGATGATACTCACATTAGGCATTCATTATTGCATCTAAATTATTTCACTTGCATTAGGTTTAGAAATTTATTCTCTGGTTAACAGATTTCAAATGTTCAATTAATTTGTAGTATGACAGTAAGGTATATAAGAAGTTATTTAATTTTGCTTGGGCTATTATATTGACTATTGAGGTTTAATGATGATATGGAATTTGAATTCTATATAAATTTACACTATGTGGTTGGGGCATTTTGCATAGTAAATATGGTTACTACTCCTATATATCATATTATTTGATTGGTATTCGATTTCTGATTATTTCTCTAGGAATATGATTATTATATCTCAATTTGGCTTTAGGTAGGGTGCCCCGCTAAAAGAACTGGATTCTTCCAGGAAGCATCCCGTGCACAGACCTTGGTCTACATATATATTAAATTATTAACCATTCATTCTGTATGTGCACGAAAATTTATTTCAATCAATGTCACTCCTCTTAAACGACATTATTAGGTAATAAACGACATTATAATCTCTTAGCGACAATATTACAAGATAAACGACATTATATTCTGTTAATGACAATATTACGAGATAAACGACATTATATTCTGTTAATGACAATATTACAAGATAAACGACATTATATTCTGTTAATGACAATATTACGAGATAAACGACATTATATTCTGTTAATGACAATATTACAAGATAAACGACATTATATTCTGTTAATGACAATATTACGAGATAAACGACATTATATTCTGTTAATGACAATATTACAAGATAAACGACATTATATTCTGTTAATGACAATATTACAAGATAAATGACATTATATTCTGTTAATGACAATATTACAAGATAAACGACATTATATTCTGTTAATGACAATATTACGAGATAAACGACATTATATTCTGTTAATGACAATATTACAAGATAAATGACATTATATTCTGTTAATGACAATATTACAAGATAAACGACATTATATTCTGTTAATGACAATATTACGAGATAAACGACATAGTAATCTCTTATCAAAATTTAAACGACATTATTGCCAAAAGCGACGATATTGCGCCGGCTGACCAGCTGCCCCTGTGAACGGTTCACTCATATCATGTAAAATGTCACTCCCGAGTGTGTGTATATTAGTGTGTATATTAGTGTGTATATTAGTGTGTGTATTAGTGTGTGTATTAGTGTGTATATTAGTGTGTATATATAACTCCCCCCCCCCCCCCAGGTATCCCTAATATGATGGATCACATTGTGAGTGAGGACTATCTGGTGAAACAGAAACTGATGGAAAGTGTACTGAGGGAGGAGCAGGAGCAGGAGGGTGTTGAGGAACCCTGGTATATCAAGGTGGACGATCAAGCGGAGTCCAGTGTCCCTGTTTTCAGACCTCGAGGTTATTTTGGTTGGGTGTTTTATTTTGTTTCGAGTCATAGCATAGTTTTAAGAATTAAAAATCACATTCAGTCTTCTTATATCTGAACATCCCAGAGGTATCTTCTTTAATGGGGCACCTAGGTTCAGCCTTAGTTTTAATTATAATTTTCTGATTTAATTTGACCGTTATCTTTATTAGGTACTGAAGATGTCCGAAAATATTTTATACCAATGATGTTATACAAATTTTGTTGGAACTTTTTAACTCATTCGTTGTCTGACTGTGGGAACTCTTGATTTTAGGTTCAGCCTCTCTAAAAAATTAATTACTAAAATATTGATCTTCCTCCACTGCAGAGTTGCCGACCCCGGAGACGCACCCCACAATGTTCTTAAACCAGTGGTTTGGGCCAGAGGTCAGGTGTGAGTACGAGATAGAGAACCCCGGTTTCAAACCACAGATATTTTCCTGTACCATGACTGTTCAGGACAGGTCCTTCCAGGGCTCTGGACCCTCTAAGAAGGAAGGTAGGTCTACAATATTATATATGATATAGTATATATACTAGTAGTATATACTAGTAGTATATACTAGTATTTTGTTTATTTTAGCGTTTATTTTGTAACTATTGGATAATTAGTACTTCGTGTGACTGTAATGATAGATTGAAATTTCTATATCAAATTATTCGTGTGTTATCGAAAGTGAACCTCTTATTTTTAGTGACTCCCCCACGTAACTTCCCCACGTTTCAGCTCAAAGAATCACAGCTGCTCTGACACTCCGCAGACTAGAAAAGGACCCGCCTCCAATAGACAACAGAAAGTTATCCAAGAGAAAAGGGAAAAAACCGAAGAAACCTAAAACTATGTCGGGGGTTGCTGATTTTCCTACACTTCCCAGCAAAATACCACGTTCAGGACTACGGACTGAAGATACGGTTCCTGTTGGGGATAGTTCATCAGGAGGAGCTGTAACGGGTTTTATACCTGCTGAGAGTAACTCTGTGACGTCACTAGATGTGACGTCATCAGATATGACGTCATCAAAAAATGTTGCATCTTCAGAAAATGTCGCGCCACCATCTGTTGCTTCAACCACGATCACAACCACTGAGAAAGTGGTTGGAGGCTCCACAAGTAACACGTCCGCTCCTATACAAATTCTGAAGAAGCCAATAGAAATCAGCAACAACAATAAAACCAGTAAGCCTAATTTTAGTGGGAACAAACAGACTTGGAAGATCGGAGGAAAGAGAACAGATCAACCCACTGGCAACTACAATTCTAACAACTTTTCAGCCGATAGAAACAATTACATCTCCTCGAATAACTACTCTCATCCTAACAATAACTGGTCCATTAATTCTGACAACAATAATTACAACAATAATTACAACAATAATTACAACAATAGTTACAACAATGATAGTGGGTACAGTGCACAGGGATATCAGGGACAGTACCCGCAAGTACCCGCACCAAGCTATCAGTACCCGCAGGCGGGCTACACCCACACTTCTTACAATGGGTACAACCCGCCGTTACCTAATTTCACCCCTCCTCCTCCTCCTCCTCCTCCTTCGTAACCATGCAGTGTGGCTAATGCAGTTTAATGCTTCATATTGAATCTGTTATTTTGCTGTAAGTCGTAATTTATATGGTTTCAAAACGTTGGAATTTGAATTAAAACTTTGGAATTTGAATTAAAACTCTGAGGTTAATTGTTGTTACAATATTATTTGGAAATAGTCCTTGTGGTCGAATTTCTTGATTCCTGCATTCATTGTTTTATGGATATTTTTGTTTTTGTGATCATAATAATATAATATATTTGGGAATACAGCTCGTCTGAAATGATTCTCTCATTTATGGATCTTGTCAGCAAAACATTCAATTGATTTAAAAATTACAATACGATTACAATACGATTTGCTAACTTAAAATATGAAATACAATTAGCTAGAAAATGGGAAAGATAAAGAAGGGCAAGGGCTCCAGAATCTCACATCCTTACGTTGCTAAAGTGCAAAATGATTCCAATCTAAATGCTTTAGATGGGTAAGCCCTTAAATGATACGTAATATTTGCTTATTGAAATTCTAATGTCTACAACAAACCATTTTCTTTTGAGATCTTGTTTTTATTGGTTTTTATTCCATTTGTTGTTGACCAAAATCCGAACACTTTTTTGTGATGTTTCCCGGAGTTGATTCTATTTTCAAAACTTTACCTCTAAGTAAGTAAGTAAGTAAAAAAATTTTAAAAGAAAAAAAAAACTGTAACCTCTAATCAGCCCACCAAAGAAAAGTGTGGAAAAGTCAGAAAAGAAAGACGCTATCACGTGTCTGAAGAACGAACTGAAACCTAAAACTAAGAAAAAGAGGATGAAAGAAAAGAGTCAGAAATGGAAGGAGAAATTGGAAAATATTAAAAAAGGTAACGTCTTGTTCTTTTCACTGAAATGTTTTTTTGTTCACAAAACTTTAACCGTGTGTTAACCGTGTATTTACCGTACGCGTAGGCTGTGTTTCTGTCAACAGATTACCGGATTTCAAAATCTGATGATACCAAATCATTTTCTCCTAAATATAATACTTCACTTCCGGTAAACTATAAGTATTATATAAGTATAAGTATAAAGCAGTGGTGATTTTATTATTCATTGATGAGCAATCACAACTGTAACCTTTATTTTAATATTTCAGCTAAAGATGAAGAGATAGCTAAAGCTAAGCGGGAGAAGACTAAGATAACTGGGGACATGCAGCCCTTATCAAACGAACTAACATCAATATTTAGCAGTATAATGGCCGATAAGAAAATTAATCTCAATATTCGGCCAACTGCTAAGCAAGATGACACTCCTTATAATCCATTCCAGTAAGTTTTAATTGACCTTTTTTATTCCGAATGTGACAGAACATTAAATTAAATAAAGGAACCTAAGCTGTGAAATAACGCGACATGTTTATAAGTTTTAAACGAAAAATATAATACGATTTTAATGATTTTACTCTGTTTAAACTAACTTAATCTATTTGTATCACGTGACTAGAATACAGCTCTCTGATTGGTTAGTTTGTGTCACGTGGTGTGAATACTGTGCTCTAATCGGCTATCTATTTCAGATCAAACGTGGACCACTTCAAATCAGTTTTATCCAACAAGAACTTCAAAGATAATCCCTTGTCAGCTGTAAAAGCACACATCCTAAGAACTAATGCTATGCATAGGACTTGAATACGACTTTTTTAAAGGATTCCTTTCATTTTGGAATGGTTATATATTCTGATAGTTTACATGTTTTAGATTTCTCAGATGAATTAAAGAAGCTGGATTTGTTAACCTGTCAATCTCCATCTGAAGGTGTAAAATCCATTTAAATGTTCTGCTCCGTTCATATGAGATGCAGTAGTAGTAGTAGTATCATTGCTTACTTACCATTATTAGATTAGTCCTCCTCTTGATAACGTTACAATTAATTGTATTGATTTATTTTACTTATTCTCATTATGTTTTTATAGTTTTCTTTACTGCTTTTTATTTACTCTATTCTAACTATTCAATCTCCGAAGCTATGTCTGCTCCAAAGACTCACGAGGGTAAGCTAAAACATATTTCTCTTTCGCCACTTCAATTAACTAATTAATTAATTAGCGCTTCAATTAACTGTATAGCTAATAATTAACAATTAACTAATTAACTGTATCGCGCGCGGCAGGGCCGGTTAGCATTGTACATTATTTACTGGCCGAGCACCGGAGAATTTAACATTAAGGTTGGAGTTGACCGCACTCCAGGATCATCAGCCGGGTAAGATCCGCGGCAGTGGGACCCCACAGTTCTGTTTCACTTGTTATTTGTCAGGTTTTAACAGAACTGTAAGGCTGGCACGAAGAGCAGATAGTTCTATCTTGCTCCCCCCACTGAGACCACAAGCACGACGTGTTGCTTGGGCCTTTTAAAATCGTAAAATGTGGTCGTTAAAATCCGTGTAGTGGTAGGTAAAATGTCGTAGTTTTGGTTGAAGTCGTAGATGAGGTCACACTTCACTCATCAGGGATCGAGATGATGAAGTCGCCTTGGGCTGGCCCGACCATTATTTGTCGGGTTGGAGTGCTCTGACACCCCACTGCTGTCTTTCCTTCTTCCATCTCCATAACAGTCGACGTTTCTTTGACCAGATGCTGTCTGGGAATGTTGGCTGCTCCTCTTTGTAGCTGGACGGCTACGTGGTTGATTAGAACGGCGAAGTCCCTGTATCGGTCCGTGGTTCGTCGGTCTAAATCGCCGAGTTCATCGTAGAGTTCACGAACAGAGAGGAAAGGGAGGCCTCTCTCAAATCCGTGGCAACAGAAAACCATAGTTCCCCCTCCCATTATGGCAACGCCGAGGAGAACAATGGCAATAAGGATCAAGATTGAACTTGGTTCCATTGAAATAGAGTTTATTATATTCGCGTAAGAGAGATGAAGTAATAAACACTGACCGTATGCGTGCACGTTGTCATGGTTGATAGTAGATGGCACGTGCAATTTGCGCGTCCGGATTCAACAAAAATTATTCGTATTTGGATGGGTGCCATCATATCTTTCTTAAAAGTCGCCAAATTTCTCATCGCCTATTGTCACTTTTGCCACTTCGCCGTCACAATAAAATAATATCATTTTTGTAACGCGCTTCGCATCTTTCATGATTTCCTTTATCCCTTGAGCGCGCACTTCATGCGCGCGTTTTGAATGATAAATTAAATCGAGCTCTCGCGCGTAAGTAGCCTGCTTATGTTCACATGTTAGGACTATTCGACGAAAACCGCGGGACTTTCTTGTCCTGGGCGTGGACAGAATTGAAGCGGTAATTTCGATTAAACATTGGGAACACTAACAATCAAGCTGTTCCCATATGAATAGGAGTCACCGTGTGATATTGTGCCTCTTAAATATCCTAACCCACTAACAAAAGTGTATGTTGCAGAGATAGAGGCGAGAGTTAAAGCCTTGCAAGCCAAGGGATCAGAAGAGAAAGATAAAGATGCCGGCACTAGCAAGGTACGATTTGAGAATATTACTGACTATTTTGTAGTAGTGATGAGATCTGAACGATTTTGGAGTTTGCTGGTATTATAAATCAAGAGGCTTGCATATAATGAACATATTGACACGGGTGCAGAGTTGAGTCTGTACGGAACCTAGTAGTTTCAGATCCTTGTTTTACTTGCCGTACAGCAAGGTCATCCACTACTTTAGCCCGGCGAGGCACATAACTCCCTCTACAACTCCATGACAAATGTTTCATATATACTAGCCGAGTTCACACGAATATATCCTTGTATATAACATATATGGAGGAACGAGCTGAGAGGCTCTCTTTCCAGGATATGAGAGAACAGATATTCGCCTTAAAATTTCGTAAATCGGATCACAAACCAAATAATAATGACACAAACATCACCACACGTCATCATAAATATCCCTACAAACAATAAAGAATAAAATGTTCAGTACAATGTACACTTTTCTCAATGCTCACTATCACGTGACGTTATTAGATGTTAGGAGTACCATCAAGTGACGTCACGTATTTGACAACGTTGTTCTTCTTCGTGACGTTGAACGACAAAATGGATATGCCTCAAACATGTCACCTCATATTAGACTAATTGGTCTTCTCTATAAAATTATACTCTTTAGTCTATAGAGTTATAGTATTGTAATAAGAGCTTTAAACAAACAAAAGAGCGGCACTTTTGTTTATGTAAGGCTCCCAGTAAAGCTCTGTACCAGATTCGCTTCCTTTTAACTGACCGCTTTCTCTTTTTACTGGTAACCGTCATCAAGAACGCTGTGAAGTATTTTTTAAATTTCATTATATTTTATAGATGAATCCATACATAACTTAAACTGCTGAATTCCGTCTGATGTTACTCATTACCCTGGTAGAGTTACCTCCTAATAAGGGCATCACGTGGTAGAAGTTTAGAGGGTCGAACTCTGATAACGGGATGTTATCCTGCTCAAGTTTTGTTAAAATGGCCCCCTCTCTCACGTCTTTGTAGTTGAGTTTTGTGCAGATAGGTATCTAAAGGTACGTTGTTAAGAATATCTGATATATTTATCTTACATAACCAAAATTTGGTGAATACGGGCCCAATATAGTCACGTTGTTGTTAGGGTTTCAATAATGTAATCTGGGTATTAAATCCGTCATTTGTAAACGTGATTGTAAACGTGGTTACTATATCCGCTAATGTACCACAAGGTAGTAGATTATGATATTTCGGGCTTTTAGAGTAATCGTATTGCAATTTCGTGCTTTTAGCGGGTAGCTTTGCGCAACCGTTTTTCATTTTCAATGACGGTATCAAAGGTAAGGTAAGATTGAGTTCGTTCATCTTCCTCTCCATATTTCGATCTTTATAACCAGTTTTATACGAGAATTCGTTCGTAGCACTCTTCTGACACCGTTGTTGAAATTTGAAATAGCTTTGATTTTCTCTAACAGGTCTCATCAACCTTCCTATGTTGAGGTTCGTTAACGTTAACTAAGCCATCACATGACTACCTATTAGAGAGACATCTAACAGTTGAGGGATATTGAGGGGTACTGACTCTATTGAGGGGTACTGGCTCAATTGAGGGGTACTGACTCTATTGAGGGGTACTGATTCAATTGAGGGGTACTGACTCTATTGAGGGGTACTGACTCAATTGAGGGGTACTGACTCAATTGAGGGGTACTGACTCTATTGAGGGGTACTGGCTCAATTGAGGGGTACTGACTCTATTGAGGGGTACTGATTCAATTGAGGGGTACTGACTCTATTGCGGGGTACTGGCTCAATTGAGGGGTACTGACTTTATTGAGGGGTACTGACTCTATTGAGGGGTACTGACTCTATTGAGGGGTACTGACTCTATTGAGGGGTACTGACTCTATTGAGGGCCAGGGGTACTGACTCTATTGAGGGGTACTGACTCTATTGAGGGGTACTGTCTCAATTGAGGGGTACTGACTCTATTGAGGGGTACTGGCTCATTTGAGGGGTACTGGCTCTATTGAGGGGTACTGACTCTATTGAGGGGTATTGATAACATCAACAGCGCGGAATATTTACCGTTAATTAATTTACCTTTAATAACGGGGTGTTTATCGTTAAATATTCTTATTTCAGGTCACACATTCAATTGTAAATGCCACCTTTGCCACCAAGTCAGTTTTACTGTTCAAATTGTCGTTCAGCAAACTTCTCCAACAGTTCAGTTCTCCGACGGGGATAGTTTTATTAGCTGGTATTTTCCATCAATGTAGGTGCAATTTCACACTCTCAGCCCACATTATTACTCCAAATAGTCCTCAACACATTTTAATGTGCTGCATAACATCGTCTGGTTCTACCTTACAAGGCGATGATATGACGCCTTGACAATTGTACTCTTGTCTCTTGTCCAGTACCTTCGCTGTGCAGTGTGCTTCAGTTTTGTGCTGCAGCGTTGTACTATCTATTAGTTTATATCGTTCAATATTTATTCTATTCGAGGATAAGGTTGAGAGAAAACTGAATTTATCTTTTAATCTTAAGTCCGTGATAAAGTGATGGATCACACTGATTTGTTAGTCCTTTTGCTGACTTTTATATTGTTCACATGTGAAGCAGGCATTCCATTGAAGCACGCATTGTGTGCTATTTATTAATTGATATTGTACTCAATAAGCTGCTCTATTGTATTGTTTAATGTATAGCAACTGACGTCAGCTAACAAGAGACAATAGGTATACGATAGACAAGTGGTTCTGTGGTTCATAGCTGTCACTTCTATGTCAGAGTTGTATCGTGTTGTCACAGTTCCAATTTTCATTCAAGAGCACATTTCTCAACGTTTTTGATTTAATCGAACAGCTTACAGCGTTCAAGAAAGTTCTTGTTGCCCGTTGCCGCCTATACCCCCCCCCCCCCGCCTATAATACCGAACGCCAAATAACTCCAGCGAAATTTTCTGAGTATTGTCCGTTATAGAATCCACATATTCCTTCCGCTTTATAAAATAGACTGGACACGTTACCTCCTAATAAGGGCATCATCTGGTAAGATAAAAGTGCTATGTCGAGAAAGTCTCTGGTAAGATAAAAGTGCCCACGTGCATGAAATACTAGTCAAGTGACCTGCTCTAAGGAGCCCCACTCCACCTCGTGGATTCTAAGGTCGCAAGGGAATAAGTTATTATTATAGTCCGGGTTTTTACCACGTCACTTTATTAATGTCAAAACATGCTTTATTACATTGCGTCGTCATGGGAAAACCGTTCACTGACACGCGCTTATCGATCACGTGACTTCTGTAGCATAAGCACGTGACTGGTGTGGTTGGTGTTTAACTCTGGTCACGTGTCTGTGAGCGTGTCACGTGTCTGTGCGCGTGTCACGTGATTTATAAACGCTTCACTCAGACACCCGCACATAAATCCCGCGTCGCGTGGTCCATCTAAAATATATAGGTTTAGTTTGCGTTTATATAACTTTTTGGAACGTTGCCCTAAATCAACCAAGTTATGAGATTTTCATAACGTTACGTTTAATAATAATTACATTAGTTCTACAGCACTACTCAAAGTCACGTTTAACCCAGTAACATTAGCCGCATTACAGAGTAACTACCTGCGGGTTAAGTTACCCGTTAAGCTGTTTAACCCATTAGAGAATACATGTGTTGTAATGTGTTGCTTGTAGTTGTACATCTTCTCTCTCCCACACCATGTACAGTTACACGGTACAGGTACACTGTGTTTCACAGTTACACTGTGTTTCTGTTACACTGTGTTTCACAGTTACACTGTGTTTCTGTTACACTGTGTTTCGCAGTTACTCTGTGTTTCTGTTACACTGTGTTTCACAGTTACACTGTGTTTCTGTTACACTGTGTTTCACAGTTACACTGTGTTTCTGTTACACTGTGTTTCACAGTTACACTGTGTTTCTGTTACACTGTGTTTCGCAGTTACTCTGTGTTTCTGTTACACTGTGTTTCACAGTTACACTGTGTTTCTGTTACACTGTGTTTCACAGTTACACTGTGTTTCTGTTACACTGTGTTTCACAGTTACACTGTGTTTCGCAGTAACACTGTGTTTCACAGTTACACCGTGTTTCTGTTTCACTGTGTTTCACAGTTACACTGTGTTTCACAGTTACTCTGTGTTTCACAGTTAAACTGTGTTTCTGTTACACTGTGTTTCACAGTTACACTGTGTTTCACAGTTACTCTGTGTTTCACAGTTACACTGTGTTTCTGTTACACTGTGTTTCGCAGTTACTCTGTGTTTCTGTTACACTGTGTTTCACAGTTACACCGTGTTTCTGTTTCACTGTGTTTCACAGTTACACTGTGTTTCACAGTTACACTGTGTTTCACAGTTACACTGTGTTTCACAGTTACACTGTGTTTCACAGTTACACTGTGTTTCTGTTACACTGTGTTTCACAGTTACACTGTGTTTCGCAGTAACACTGTGTTTCACAGTTACACCGTGTTTCTGTTTCACTGTGTTTCACAGTTACACTGTGTTTCACAGTTACACTGTGTTTCACAGTTAAACTGTGTTTCTGTTACACTGTGTTTCACAGTTACACTGTGTTTCACAGTTACTCTGTGTTTCACAGTTACACTGTGTTTCTGTTACACTGTGTTTCGCAGTTACTCTGTGTTTCTGTTACACTGTGTTTCACAGTTACACCGTGTTTCTGTTTCACTGTGTTTCACAGTTACACTGTGTTTCACAGTTACACTGTGTTTCACAGTTACACTGTGTTTCACAGTTACACTGTGTTTCACAGTTACACTGTGTTTCTGTTACACTGTGTTTCACAGTTACTCTGTGTTTCACAGTTACTCTGTGTTTCACAGTTACACTGTGTTTCTGTTACACTGTGTTTCACAGTTACACTGTGTTTCGCAGTTACACTGTGTTTCACAGTTACACTGTGTTTCGCAGTTACACTGTGTTTCGCAGTTACACTGTGTTTCGCAGTAACACTGTGTTTCACAGTTACACTGTGTTTCGCAGTTACACTGTGTTTCACGTTATGTTCTGTAATAGTCACTGTTTGCCTCCCAATACCCATCAAACAAATTGTCATGGTCAGAAATTCGTACTTTTCACTTTTGAGGAAATGTTTTTGTTTCTTTGGAGGATGACACTGTATTAAGGAAAACATGGTCATAACTGCTAGCTCCAATTAACAACATAGTAATTATATTATATTTGAAACCGGATGTTTTCTGACGACTAACAAAATACAGTATGTGTGAATATTTCGTCAGCTCTGCTACATCGCTATTGCTGCATTCTCCCTGTGTCTTGTGACCATCGTGTTGCTTTCAAACCTGCTCGAATCTTCCCTCACTCATTAAGAGTTAAACCATTTCCAATCAATACAGAGCTTACAGTTACATAGCTTATCTGACCGATATCAATTTGACTGAACGTCTTTGTCAAAGCGTTAGTTAAGCGGTGTGTCCAACTCACGTCACTGATAAAATCCTATATATTGTACTGCTGCCAGCTGCTAATGTATAGTTGTATAATGCTTATTGGTATTTTGTACTGCTGCCAGCTGCTAATGTATAGTTGTATAATGCTTATTGGTATTTTGTACTGCTGCCAGCTCCTAATGTATAGTTGTATAATGCTTATTGGTATTTTGTACTGCTGCCAGCTCCTAATGTATAGTTGTATAATGCTTATTGGTATTTTGTACTGCTGCCAGCTCCTAATGTATAGTTGTATAATGCTTATTGGTATTTTGTACTGCTGCCAGCTGCTAATGTATAGTTGTATAATGCTTATTGGTATTTTGTACTGCTGCCAGCTGCTAATGTATAGTTGTATACTGCTTATTGGTATTTTGTACTGCTGCCAGCTGCTAATGTATAGTTGTATAATGCTTATCGGTATTTTGTACTGCTGCCAGCTCCTAATGTATAGTTGTATAATGCTTATTGGTATTTTGTACTGCTGCCAGCTCCTAATGTATAGTTGTATAATGCTTATTGGTATTTTGTACTGCTGCCAGCTGCTAATGTATAGTTGTATAATGCTTATTGGTATTTTGTACTGCTGCCAGCTGCTAATGTATAGTTGTATAATGCTTATTGGTATTTTGTACTGCTGCCAGCTCCTAATGTATAGTTGTATAATGCTTATTGGTATTTTGTACTGCTGCCAGCTCCTAATGTATAGTTGTATAATGCTTATTGGTATTTTGTACTGCTGCCAGCTGCTAATGTATAGTTGTATAATGCTTATTGGTATTTTGTACTGCTGCCAGCTGCTAATGTATAGTTGTATAATGCTTATTGGTATTTTGTACTGCTGCCAGCTGCTAATGTATAGTTGTATAATGCTTATTGGTATTTTGTACTGCTGCCAGCTGCTAATGTATAGTTGTATAATGCTTATTGGTATTTTGTACTGCTGCCAGCTGCTAATGTATAGTTGTATACTGCTTATTGGTATTTTGTACTGCTGCCAGCTGCTAATGTATAGTTGTATAATGCTTATTGGTATTTTGTACTGCTGCCAGCTGCTAATGTATAGTTGTATAATGCTTATCGGTATTTTGTACTGCTGCCAGCTGCTAATGTATAGTTGTATAATGCTTATCGGTATTTTGTACTGCTGCCAGCTGCTAATGTATAGTTGTATAATGCTTATTGGTATTTTGTACTGCTGCCAGCTGCTAATGTATAGTTGTATACTGCTTATTGGTATTTTGTACTGCTGCCAGCTGCTAATGTATAGTTGTATAATGCTTATTGGTATTTTGTACTGCTGCCAGCTGCTAATGTATAGTTGTATACTGCTTATTGGTATTTTGTACTGCTGCCAGCTGCTAATGTATAGTTGTATAATGCTTATTGGTATTTTGTACTGCTGCCAGCTGCTAATGTATAGTTGTATACTGCTTATTGGTATTTTGTACTGCTGCCAGCTGCTAATGTATAGTTGTATACTGCTTATTGGTATTTTGTACTGCTGCCAGCTGCTAATGTATAGTTGTATAATGCTTATTGGTATTTTGTACTGCTGCCAGTTGCTAATGTATAGTTGTATACTGCTTATTGGTATTTTGTACTGCTGCCAGCTGCTAATGTATAGTTGTATACTGCTTATTGGTATTTTGTACTGCTGCCAGCTGCTAATGTATAGTTGTATACTGCTTATTGGTATTTTGTACTGCTGCCAGCTGCTAATGTATAGTTGTATACTGCTTATTGGTATTTTGTACTGCTGCCAGCTGCTAATGTATAGTTGTATAATGCTTATTGGTATTTTGCCAGCATTCTGTAATATTGATAACTAAAAGCTGCTGTAAGTGATTTGCCACAGTATAGTAAGCAACAATCTGGTTTCTGTCTGGCTCTATTTCCTGAGTACTGGTTTGTTATCCTCCGATAGTTTTATAGATTAAACTCGTTATGTCGCTGATATAATACTCTAGACTGCAGCTCAGCTGATTTATATAGTACTTGTATACTGTATAGTAGTCAGTTGATCATGCTTAGTGGTATTTTGCAAAGTATTATATGTGGTAGCGAGCAGCTGTGTGGTGATATTCCGCCGCTGTAGGTAGCAATCTGGACTGTTCTCTAGTACGCTACTTGCTTCTTGTCTGTGTTTCCTGTGTGTGGCCATCCATAAATTAGGTCGCTCTTCCCCAATTCCCCTCCCGGCATCGTCCATTTGAGTTGCAAAATTGAAAAAACCCCTCCCTATCCGATGGACGTGTTTATGGATGGTCCCTTAAGTTATTGTAAAACTACAGTATTGTAAAACTACAGGTCCCTTAAGTTATTGTAAAACTACAGTATTGTAAAACTACAGGTCCCTTTAAGTTATTGTAAAACTACAGTATTGTAAAACTACAGGTCCCTTAAGTTATTGTAAAACTACAGTATTGTAAAACTACAGGTCCCTTTAAGTTATTGTAAAACTACAGTATTGTAAAACTACCGGTCCCTTAAGTTATTGTAAAACTACAGGTCTCTTAAGTTATTGTAAAACTACAGGTCCCTTAAGTTATTGTAAAACTACAGTATTGTAAAACTACAGGTCCCATTATAAGTTATTGTAAAACTACAGTGCAGTGCGAGTACCGACCGTCTGACTTAACGTACAGCTTTTTATGTAATTTGATTTGCAATTACTTTATTCAATTTTTGTTTGACAAATGCAAACATTTAAAAACTATTGTAAATGCTCTCCCAACAGGCAACCTTTACCGGGTACCAATCTTTATCGGGTACCAAGACTTCTGTTAACATAATTTATCAGTGTCAAATGATTACCAGTTATATTGTAAATTATTGCCAAGCTGTTCGATAGATACCGACGGCTCCAGTGGCAGGAGCTATATTGATGAAGGAGCAATACATAGTAAACGAGATTAATAAAGGGAAATATCCGGTGATAGATTAAATTAAGGAACCATGGGGTGTAGTGGGGTGTAGTGCTCAAATTTATTTTAATTTTCTCCGATTTCCGTTAGGCTTGTGGATTTATCTCAGCGATTGTACTCTGTGGCATAACCGACGACCGAATACTATCCGCTGATGGACTTTCCTTAACTTCATTCCGTTTTATCATCCCTTGCCATCTTACATCTGTAGACTGTACATCAGTACAATCAATTTAAATAGTCGATACAATCAGCCAGCTGGCTAATACAATGTGATTGCAATAGAAGTTGAGCTTTTAATCTCCCTCTAAAGTCTAATAGTATTCTAATAGTATTCTAATAGTATTCCAATACAGGACCCGTGTTGTCTTAAATTTCATCTTAGAGTCTGCTATAGTTGCTGTATTACGTATGGCCTAGGGCGAGGACCCTGCTGTATTTATATTTGGGTCGTGTTCTTGTATCCGGTCAGTTTTACCTTAGCACCGTGCTTCATTGATGTTTGTAAGGAGTCTCTAGATAATTTCATCATGAACAGAAGACACATTTGGAGAGTTGTTTGTTCGGTGCAGTCGTGCAGATTCTTTTGAAAGTTATAATGTAAGTCGTGTCTCGTGATTAATATGTAACTGAATTTTCCAAGATTTAATTTCACAAATTGTCATGCATGCTTACTTTAAAAGACTGGAATGCCTGCTTGCGATTATTCAATAACCTATGCAGTATGCATTATAACGCAACTTTCTCTGCCAATAGCATATCTCTGCCAATAGCATATGAGATACATGCTGTTCCTCTTTGATGTTCCTCGGGAACCTTTTACCGACAAGATTTTACATTGAGGCATTTATTTATCATATCAAAAAAGTTCAAAGCTTTGCTTGATGCCTTGATATTATGATATAATATTCCTTTACTTGTATTTTCCTATAATAAATTTCGTATGAAACGTCAGTTTTACAGTGATGCTAAGAGTTAACAATGTACTGAGATCAACAAGTTTGGGGGCTCTCCCCCGATACGGACGTCTGCAAGCTCTACCCCAACTTCAGCACAGCACTCCAGCCCGTCACAAACGCTCTGACGCACAAACTGACAGTCACGTTGTTCCGCCCGTTCTGCTGAACTTCCAGGATGCGAAAGCAGCATATGAGTCGAAAAACACGTTTGAACTGTTTAGATCCCGTATTGTGCTGCGTCTGTGTGGTATTGATTCCATCGTCAATAACAACGAGAAACTCTTGAAGTTCTCCAAAATAATGCTGCCGAAAAAGATGTTTGATTCTGTTATGAGGATGACGTTTTATGGTCAGTTTGTCGGTGGAGCTGATGTAAATGATCTCCGACCAAAACTCTCAAAAATGCAGGAGTACGGGGTGAAGCCCATCCTGGATTACTCAGTTGAAGCAGATCTAAAGGAGGATGAAACAGATGAGATTCCCGAGATTGCTGTTACAGAAGTGCAGTTTAAACAAGATTCCATATCCTCCAAACGTAACACCCACCAAGCCGTAGCTCGAGCTTATCCTTACAAAGGAGAAGACAGTTGTGAGGAGAACTTGAACATATTCCTGGAATGTTTGGAGACAGCGAGCCAAGTTTGTGATAAAAACGCATTCTCCGCGATCAAGGTCACAGGTCTGGGTAAACCCAACGCACTGCTTGAAGGCTCTCATTTTTTGCATCGGATCCAGGAATTGTATATCAAACATTCCCAAACATTTGAAGGTACGCTGCCCTCCTATATCAATATCAAGTACCTGCCTAAAGATGTACTAGGACCCAAGGAACTTCTTGCAGAACTAAGAATGACGCTCGATAATTTCCGAGCTATGTTAACCAGTCTGGGCGCTGATTTAAGCGAAAGTGAAATCACAGATTTGTTTAATTCAATGTCTCCGGATGAAATGGGCCATATTAAATACCACAGATTCCGCGAATCTTGCATGCCTGGTCCACCAGAGAAACCACTCTACACCGTGTTAACACATCTCAATCTTCCTGATGGTAAAATTAAAATGAGCGCCGACCACTTAGAAGCACTTAATAGAGTCGAAGAAAGACTGATTGTGCTGTGCGACCGCGCAGTTGAGTTGGACGCCAAGATACTCATCGACGCTGAACAGACCTACTTCCAACCTATGATAGACTACTTTGCGAACAAGATGATGTCCCGATATAACAAGGAAAACGTTTACGTGTTCAACACTTATCAGTGTTATCTCAAGTCCACCCCGTCCCAGCTTATCTATGATGCAGATAAAGCGAACGTGCTGGGTTACAAACTCGGCGCAAAGCTTGTCCGTGGCGCGTACATGGAACAAGAACGCCAACGCGCGCTCGACCTTAACTACGAGGACCCTATATACCCCGATAAAGCACACACGAACTCATGCTACCACAATATGGTTGAAATCGTCCTGAAGCAGATCGAAAGACAGAAATGTCAGGTGATGATAGCATCCCACAACGAATTCACCATCCAGTACGTTGTGGAGCGAATGAGACAGTCCGGTATTTGTCCGGCAAACGGGGGCATCTTTTTCGGGCAGCTGCTTGGAATGTGTGATCAAGTCACGTACTTGTTAGGCGCAGGTGGGTACTGCAGCTATAAGTACGTACCGTACGGACCCATTGAGGCGGTGTTACCGTATCTGTCCCGGCGTGCGTACGAGAATAAGGGAATGTTGAAGGGGAGTCAGAAGGAAATTGAGCTGCTGAAAGGAGAGCTGAAGAGAAGGAGATGGAGTGTGTTCAGTACTGCTAATTAGGGGTCATTGTATGGTTAATTAGGAACGCTTTATTTAAACAGTGACCCAGGTTGAATTTGCTAGATTTATATCTAGAAACCCAGGCCCTTTGTAATCATTGTACAATGTACATTGTACATCGTACATTGGATTTAACTAAATGTGTGTTGCTAGAATGCGTATTGTTTTTTATCGAAAATCTTTCAAAGCGACATACAGAATTAAACTTAGTCGAATTAAAATTGTATACCTTTATCGGTAAATTGAATTACTCGAAAATTAAAATTACTAGGTAAGTTATATCATAATATATAGGATAGGATGTTTTTACATTTTGTATCAGCTGCAGCGTATGTTAAGATTTAAGAACTACTCGACAGTCGACAATTAACAATGGATTTCGTCCCCATATGCATATGGAAATGTATTTTATTCAGTTTAAGAGGGTTCACCCTAATGTTTTTGTGATACTCGTTTTTGAAATAGCAGTTCAGGTGACCAGCAAACTAGACCCGTGACATAAATTTTGAGGGGGTCACGGACCCAAGCGTCAACTGAACTGCTATCTCGAAAACAAGTTTCACAAAAAATCAGGGTGAAAGCTATTTTCAACCCAGATTTATTCAGTTATTCAATTTTTAAATGCGAGATGCTAGTATTATTCTGATTCTCAAAAGCAAAAATAAATTAAAATTAAACAAAAAGTTAATGACTGCAATGATTCGTCAAACTGCAAATTCAACAAAAGTGAAACTTTAAACTGGTCGTTTTAAAACTGCCAGTCCTTAATGATCCACCAACCATCATCATTTCCACAGTTCATTTATTTTTCATCGTCACACCCAAAAAGAGGAAAGGGAGAGTTTGATGGATCAAGAGTTTGATGTGGATTTCAGTGGAGGCTTAAATTAGATTCAACAATTCAATTCTTGATACTCATTACTCAAGTGAAGAAAAAGATTTATCTTACAACATGAATATCATAAGCAATAATTATATGAGTTCTAATACCTATACCTTGAATTCGAAGCAGCCTAGATTCAATAAAATTACACAATTTATCATAATACGATCACGTGAAATTAAATCTACATGCAGATGTAAAAAGTAACAAGTTTGTTCTCAGGCTTCATTCGGAGGAAAGGGTCAATACGATTCTGACATCTACGGTACCCCAGGAATGTAAGTAATTACAACTATTTCCGTCAGTCTTTCCGTCAATTCTTCAGATCTGGTCAGTCACCACTCACTGCACCGGACTAATATTTGCACTCAGTTGATATTTGCAGCGTTCATAATTTAATATGATAAGTATTCAGAGAACAATATGACTGCAATACATTCTTTGTCTTGACATAATCGGTAGTATGCCGTGTTGCGCTCTGAGGCACATGTTGAGTATCTAATATTGATAAGTAATCGTTGACAACACTGACCAAAGTTCCCTTTTTGTATGGGACGAAACGAAATGAAATGATGTGCTTGTTAATGCTCTTATGAACAGCAACTGACGCAAGTATTAAAATATTTTGATGATAGTTGATTAGTTATCATCAAAATATATGATCGACCCACTCATAAGAGCGAAGAAAGATTACCAATTAGTATTAAAACGTTGAAATGAATGATATGTTTATTGTTTAAAAGGAATACTGAAATGTAAGAATCATCTCTATTCCTAAATTAAAAACATAAAAATCAAAAGTAAGGTCGTTTGTCCGTCCGTCTGTTCGTCCGTCTGTCTGTCAATAGACGTATCTCCTGAGTTCCTGACACAGCGAGGACGTCTGATGACGTCACAATGAGTCTATCCCAGGGGTGAGGGAGGTTACAACACGTCACTAGAGAAGACACCAGCCGCTCACCATGTGGACGAGGACGACTACGGTAAAACACCGGAACACATGGGAAAGTATAGTTCCATAGCCAAGTACAAGGACGACGCTGCTAAGGCTGGAGATGTAAGTCGTGTTTGGGATTATTTTATGGAAATTAAACCTTGCAAGAAAATGTCAGATCACATTGAAATTTGAATGTATTCTTCTCTTTGTTCGCATTCAACATGAATTTCTGTTGAATAGGCAAGCTAAAAAATGAACAGCAAGTAAATAGGATTTAATATAAAATCCCTTCATAATCTTCACATCGCATCGTTCCCAGGGAGCTACAGACGACCCCTTTGCAGAGACCCGACGTAAACGAATAGTAGACCGACAGAATGAGTACCAACAGAGGTTTAGGAACATGTTGATATCTCCCGCACGTGCTGATGTGTTCGCGGACGGAGGCAAGACTCCGGACCCTTCACAGAGAACTTACTCTGATGTCATGAGGGAGAAACGGCTAGCTAAGGAGGGGGTCAGTACTTGCGGAATATATAAAAATTATACTTTATTATTTATTTTTGTTCGAAAGAAAGAGACATTGTCAATGGTCCACTCCACCCAATTTTGGGTTTTGGGTTTTTAATTCATTATTTTTACTAAACAATTCTCAGAACGCTATAAGATCCCAAGTATCTGAGAAGAGAAAGGAAGGTACGTTAACTGTACAACCCGATCAACCAGCCCCTGCCAAGAAGAAGCGAAGGTACGTGACCGGTATTTTAGTCTTTTTAATTAAATAAAGGGATTTAATGAAAGAAAGGGATCGTAGCGAACATTCTTTGAAATGATTGGGTCATGGGGCGGCAAGAATACTATTTTTGTTTCCAACTAAAAGTTCATTTTAGTACGAGTAGTAAAATCAAGATCAATAAAACTCAAACTAAAACTAAAACTCAAACTAAACACGTGACCTCACTAAAACACGTGACGTCACTAAAACACGTGACGTCACTAAAACACGTGACGTCACTAAAACACGTGACGTCACTAAAACACGTGACGTCACTAAAACACGTGACGTATTCCAGGTGGGACGTGAGCACTCCTTCAGAACTAGAGAACCAGAAAGCTAAAACCCCAACAACTGCTAGTGCTCCAGCCCCAGGCCTGACCCCATCATCCACCTGGGACCCTGAGGTAGGCACAACACTTTCAAACCACTTATAAATCATTTTAAGATCAATATTTGTTAACGTTTTTTACACTGTTTTAGCGGTTCTGCGATTTTCAAGAAATGCTTTAGTGCTTGGAATTTCACCCTTAACCACGCACCAAAGCTTCCTCCAAAAGTTGCTAAAACATTTCTAAGTTTGGCGTAAAGCTGTCAAATCTCAACCGCTTGCACCATTTTAAGTAACGGTCAGCTACTACAATTTAGATATCTGACGTTAAGAAATGTTCATTAAAGAAGGTAGTGCTCTCATGCTTTTAATTCGGAAGGACAGGGTAGGGGGTTGAAGGAATGTCCGCGAAGTAACACTAGATAAGTCGACGAGTGATTTTAACCCTGTTTTAAAACCGCGCAGTCTAAAACTAGAAGAAAAAAGTGCAGCAAGAGGTTTAGCGGTTGTTCGCATGATGAGAGGAGAATGAGGGCTGTTAAAATATTTGTATTCATCATATCTGAGAATGTCAATTTACTAAATAAATACCAATTGCGGAAGCAAGGAACACGTCGTCCCAATGTGTGCAGCCAGTAGAGTCCACCAGCGCTGAGCAGCCACCCCAACCTGATCCTCTACACACCAGCTGCTGTATCTTTATCCCGTAGTTCTCTTGTATCTCCCAACGGTTCCCCATCTCCCACCTCATTAGACCCGTGTTACCGAGCTTGTTCCAGACTATGTTGGCTGTGGTGTCGTCAAAACCTTTACCTGTTTTGGAATACATACGAGGATTGGTGACAAGAGCTAGAGACCTGGCGAAAATGTACGAAAAATAAGTAAGGATATTTCCCTTCCCAGAAATCACTATATTGAAGTTGACGGTGATTCAGCACTGGTGAAAGCAGTTTATACACTATGTTATATAACATACCACAGACAGTTCCACCGTTGTAGAGAAGGAGACCGGGCCGTCCGGCTGAGGCAGTGTTTCCACCTGAATCTACTCGCGTGAAACCTTTGTTATCTGAGAAAAAGTATGGACTATGATGGGCTATGACTGCAGAGTGCAGATATGGACAATTTTATACATGATTTGACCTTGTTCAATTTTGTTCAATTTATAGATCTTATTCTAAGGAATTTAATTACATATTTTAAAAACTTGTCTGGAGTTAACTCAGTGAGAAGCAATGTTAGGAATAAGTAAAAGCGGATTGTTTTACGAACTGTTCCAGTGAGCCACTCCGGCCATATTATATGTATACTTTTATATATTTGTTTTACATAGTACTAGTGTTTAGTTTGGTTGTTCCTGACCCTATAGAGCGACTAATAAGATATGATCTCTAGTTATTTGAACAGTTAATGGTAAATTAAACCACCCTAGTGTTTACTGTATTAAAAGCTCACCAACAACGCTAGTAAAGAAAAGATCCAGTCTATGCTCACAGTCCACAGGATCTTTATAAGTACAGGACTCCCACTCTGCTCTCTGGCAGTTCAGGTTCCTTACTTTGATACCGTAACTCTGTTGTATAGTCCACTTGTCACCGTACGAATACTCAATCTGACCTGGTTGAAGGGGATGTTAAAAAATAGGGTCTCAGTATTTTCAGGGAACACTGGAGTTTTTATGTAGCTGTTTCATATAGAACCATGCCTTGAGAGTTGAGAAACGTTTTGTGCAGATAGGATTCGTATCAGTTTGTTCACAAAAAATGTGGATCTGCAGTTAGAATTGCTCTTTTGGAAGCAACAAGGTTACCAGGTTAAGGTTTCCAAAAACTAGTTTACTCACCTGTGTGACCCATGATATCCATGATAAAATCGGAGGTTTTCCGCCCGAACCCATGTGCACACACCGTCCCTCCATCCAGGAGAAGTAAACCTGTGTTTTCTGTTGTGACAGGTTCTCCAATGGAGTTTACTAGCTTTAACTCTGGTATATCTGAGGAGGAATGTGTAGGATGTGTAGGATGTGTAGAATATTTAGGAATGTGTAGGATGTGTAGAATATTTAGGAATGTGTAGAATGTGTAGGATATTTAGGAATGTGTAGGATGTGTAGGATGTGTAGAATATTTAGGAATGTGTAAGATGTGTAGAATATTTAGGAATGTGTAGGATGTGTAGAATATTTAGGAATGTGTAGAATGTGTAGGATGTGTAGAATATTTAGGAATGTGTAGAATGTGTAGGATGTGTAGAATATTTAGGAATGTGTAGGATGTGTAGAATATTTAGGAATGTGTAGTATGTGTAGAATATTTAGGAATGTGTAGGATGTGTAGAATATTTAGGAATGTGTAGAATGTGTAGAATGTGTAGAATGTGTAGAATGAGTAGGATATAATGTAGACATAATAACAAGTTCGGGACTTTTATAACTCGAAATTGAAGACAATATTTAAACATTTTGCATCAAATTGTACTTATTTGTATTAAAACTTTGTGTTGAAGGTTACATTTTATAGCAGCTTATTTGACTAACCTGAACTTGAGAGATGTAAAAGAAGTGGCAGAACAAAGAGAACAACCATACTTTTTCCGGATCTGTTTTCTCTGATCTTAAAGCATTTAGTGGAGTCCTTAATGGAGGTGCGGGTGGTATATTGAGAAAAAAGACAATTACGAACAAAGAAAAGAAAGTGCTAGTGAAAGGCGGCTGAAAAAATAACAAATTTTAATAATAAATAAAAGTCAACAAACTGTCCAATAAAGATTAAAGCTATTCATTAATTTCAACTTAATTTAAAACAACCAGGAGAGTTATGAGTCATAAGTTATGACCGACGAATATCATCGTCAGCGAGGTAGATAACAACTCTTACAAATATAAGGATAAAGCTAGCTACATATAATATGCATATCTAGACAACTCATAATTATATACCTGAACAAAGTTGATAATCATAAATGATAATGATCTAGAATATTCAAAACAAACAACACAATTGTCAAGATCCGTTATTTATAGTGTTAACATGCCGCCCAACCAACTACTACCTTAACAATTGACAATGCCACCCCCCTCTTACCCACTATTACCTTATTGTATTGTGAAGAGGGGTTATTAAATAAAGAAATATATATATTATATATTAAATAAAGAAAGTTTTTTGTTGAGTTCGACACAAAGACAGATTAAATTGTCCGTCGCAAGGGTGGAGCATTAACGGATATTTTAAGCTTAGACGTGAAATGGAGTACCTGACTTATTCCCTGAGACAAGAAGCAACATTAAGTGTAGATTGTAGAGGTTACTAAGCTCCATTCTCTGTACAAAATCTTTTGCTAATCGTTTCCTGCCCCTAGTGTTTGTGAACAGCAATGTTTTTCTTGTATAACACACATAACGCAAGCAAGGACAGGGACTATGCTTCGACTTATCTAGCGGCGCCCAGGGGGTCCTTTCCGAAACGGTACTTAAGTCAAAAATGGTACTTAAGTAAAAAGTTAAGCAAAAAGTATTTTCGAAATGAGACTTAAGTGCAAAAACTTAAGTCATATTTCGCACTTAAGTATTTTTACTCAAGTAGAGAATTTTACCTAAGTACGTACTTAAGTGCGGTATTTTTCACTTAAAATGTAAGTATGGTCTAGAGGTTACTTAAGTGCCTAAATTGTAACTCTAACTCAAAATATTAAAAGTAAAACAAGTTTTTGAAAGGTTGCAAACTAATAGTATAATTACAGAATTATTTTCTCCCTAAGCGGATAACCACTGTCGCCTATCAGCCATCCGGTGTAGCCGCGGTCGGCGGTTTAACTGGGAGCAAATTGTGCTATTGTTCCATATCGTGCTGTCGTGTACCGAACCGGGCCACTTCACTGTGCATGACGTGATTTCCTGATTCATCGAGCATATCAGCTGTACGTTAATCGAATGATATCCTTTGCAATTCACATAAATCTCCTCGTTTGATTCTTATTTGAGTTCCATCAATTGCACCAAGACAACTTGGGAATTGACCATAGTCCCAGAAACCATCCTTAATAAGACGTAGTCTGCTCGAATCGTCAACTGACAGAACCAAAGAAACTAAGCGCTACTTTTTCAGCACAACAAGAGACGCGTTCAATAAACTGTAAAATCTCAAACAGAACGCGCATCAGGATTGTACAAATGGTCAGAGTTTTAGTGCGAGTCTTAGTGCGGCTTTCGCACGTGCACTCAAGTTGCACTTAAGTTGATTTTTGAACGCGATTTAAGTACATTTTTGTATTTAAGTCTCAAACTTGAAACAGAATAAGTAAACTTTGGGAAATACATAAGTAGAGTTTCGGAAACACTTTCACTAATTCTACTTAAGTCGACCATATACTATACTTAAGTGCCACTTAAGCGTTTTTTCGGAAAGGACCCCCAGGACTAGTGGATAGCGATCCCGGGGTTGGGAGCGGACCTTAACACCTTTTAAAAAACCTTTTAAAAAACCTTTAAAATCGTGAAATTGCCAAAAAAAAACCTTGAAAAGAGCGGTTTTAGCTTTAAAAAAACCTTAAAAAAGGAGAACAAAACCTTAAAACCTTAAAAAAAGAGAGAACCTTAAATCACAACCCTGAGCAATCTAGATTCCAGAGTGCGAGGAATCGTTATGAAGATAACCCCGATGTGCGTAGCAGAAGGGGTTATTTTAATTATAATATACAGCTGGATTCGTGGGAATCAAGATAATTTAAATTATCAACACCGCTCTTGTGTGCTAGCGTTCTTCCGAAACTCGTGGATAATTAAAGCATAAGCCGCCAAACACGTGCACACACAACCAACTAGGCTCAACTGCAAGTTTGATTATAATTTGTATCTAATTGTAGGTGCTTAACTGCACTTATGATATAAATCTCCATACCCACTACCCATCAGTCAGAGTGTTACTAAAGTATATTACTACAGTATTTTACTGCAGTAACTTCGAAAAAAAGAAAATGTTCATTCTGAGCCTCTAGTCTGTTATGCTACTTTGTAAGAAACATAATATCGAGATAAAGGGAATTCAAGCAGCCTGAATAAAGGAAAAAGGAAAATGT